TATCACCTTGGCCAGGTATTGTAGTTTGGGAATATGAAACGAAAGATTAGTCAAAGATGAACATTGTTAAGCTTCAGATATAATTTATGCTAACTAGAAAATAGATGACTCTAATAAGTGCTTCTTACTACGAAACATATATCAAACGTCGCCGGGCTCGAGACCCACATGTTCGTGAGCAAACAGGTAGCCAATGCCAGTCACCGAATGTCAATGAAATTGATACACGCACGTCGTGTAGAAATATCACAAAATGTCGGTCAACACACACGACTCATTCTCCACAATAACTATCGATACATACACTAGATATCCTTGAACAAGTACGGATCCGTATGTGGTGCGCCGTCATAAGTCCCAAGTCATGCGGGGGATTGCCAGATTGGCAACAAGATCACCACCGCATCATTTTTTTCAGGCTTGTGAGCTGTCAAATCGTATCCATCTCGGTTTTTAATGGGAACAGAGAATTATTATCTACTAAAAGTATAAAACCCAATCTAATTGAACCACCTTCTCCGATTCCTATTACTGACTTAGGCAGATACCCTATCACGATTAGGTCAAATTGCAAAATATGGCCACCTACACCAACGACGACGACACTGCGGGTGTTCCTCAAGCCCCGGGTGTCGAACATACCGAGGTGCTCTCCTTTCTGCAATATTTTGAGACTCTCTTCATCATCGATGACTCTTCACATATGAAGCGACAATGGAGCGACGTCTCAGCTCTGATCCAGGCGGTGGCCCCGATCTGTCTGAAATACGATGAGAACGGCATCGACATCTACTTCATCAACCACCGGCCCACACTTTACTTCCCCGGCATGTCCGTCCGCAAGTCGGGCTACAACCACATCGGCCAAGTCCACAGCGACACCGGGAAGCGGGACAGCACGCAGAACATCTTCCGGGACGTCAAGCCCGGCGGGAAGTGCAAGCTCGGCGGCCGGCTGCGGAAGATCCTAACCTGGTACATCGAGCAGCTCAAGGCGGACCCACAGCGGCCCCCTCTCAACATCATCGTCATCACGGCCGGCATAACGGACGATGATTTCACGACCCCCTTGACCGATGCGGCGAGGGAGCTCGACAACATGAAGTCGCCGCTGCACCAGCTAGGCGTGATGCTCTTCCAGCTGGGCGACGACGAGGAGGCGCGGAAGAAGTTCGAGCACGCCGACGACGAGCTGTGGCAGAAGGCGGGCACGCGGGACATCGTCGACACGGTGACGTGGCGTGGCTGGCCTGCCAGCTTCGGTTCGGAGGACATGGTCAAGGCCGTATTAGGCGCCGTGTCTAAGAAGATGGACGGCGCGGCGCCGGCTCTCGTCGGGACAGTGCCGCCGGAGCGTCGCGAGACTACGATCTAATGAATCTTGGAGGGTCGCGTGTAGCATGTCTACGGCGGATGGATTAAGTGAAGAAAAAGGCTGGACCCTAGTCATAATCAACTACTGAGAAATTAAGCCTTGACGGCATGAGGGTTTTCCACGTTCCACTGATAGATTATCACATGATGCAATTCTTAATTGCTTAGACAAACAGTATGCGGCCTTTGTTCGTGAGCATTCATCTGCTCCTAATATCCGAGATAAAGCGAAGTCAAGCAGTTGGGATGAGAGTCGACATATCTGTTAAGACAGCCAACAAGCCCATCGAAGTCAGTATCGAGGAAAGACTTGAGTGACGCCCATACCTAACCAATAGCACTATCTACATCGTCCTTGAAGCTAAACTTGTAGTGGTAAGTGCTACTATCGATGTTCGATCTATTGGATCCACTTCCACTCTCTAGGCATTCCTCGTCATTACCTACTAGGTAGGTATATAATCATGTTGGATAGGGAGCATATTGGAAGAGCGTCCTGCTGTGTCGAACCAGCCCTACGGGTGGGGCAAGAATATGATGCAGTTGATGCAGTTTCCAGAATGTCAGCAAAGTGGATAAGAATATAACTCCAGTTTATCTTGTTACAATAAGTTAAGAGGTAGGTTGTTAGCTGTAAACTACAAAGACATAATACAGAGGTTCGCCCCCTCCCCCTAAAATTCCATTCATCAAGTAGGGGAAATGCTACCAGCCCGTCTCACGAAACATACTGTATCTGAAGTCTTTCTGAAGAGCCTATTATAATGTGATTAAATGAGAGTATTTATATATACCTAGGTAGCTAAGTGTTCTTATAAATGCAGGCACTCTTGGTATCTACTGCTTACGATATATCCCCATCAGGTTGCTTTAAACAAAGCCACGTCTCAGGTCTTATAGCTAACATGATTCAAAATGAAACTGCTCAGTTTTCGAATCTCTCTTTTATTCCAAGTCGTTTTTGGTGAATTATATATATATCTAACCTTGAAGCGTCATAGTTATTCGTATGAGTTTCGGCAACTATTATGAAATCATTGGCATCCACTAAACAACGGGGATATATTGTGGCATTACTGGTCCGATGTACTACTTGATACTTGGTTGTTGACATGGGAGTGCTTCCAACGGGTATGAATAGGTAACTAGGTATATTATTACACGCCTGCACCAACATAAAATCAATGAATGTGATAGGTCTGGATGTGCTATTTGCCCTCGGATATTTCTTCCTTGCAGTAAGTTGTTGGTTTTGAATAAAACCCAGCACACTTCCTTACCAATGCTTCACACCTTTTTTTGCATCTCATTCAAGTAGCTCCTATCTTTTCTTAAACTACATTCATGTTAGTATTCCTGGAGGTATTGAACATCCACGATTACACCTTTCATCGGAGGCATGGTTTCGAGGTTGGGACGTGCCGTACTGTTCGGCTTAGCCGGCAGCCGTGTTGTCACAGCAGTCGATGTCGTGACGCTTGAAGCAAGCCAGGTAACCTATCGTGGCTCAACGGCAGGCTCTGTAGAGCATTTCCAGAATATCAAGTTTGCTCATGATACATCTGCAGAACGTCGTTTTACTCCCCCAGAACCATATACTCCTCTTCCAGGAAGCGAGATAGATGCCACAGCACCTGGGCCAGCTTGCCCTCAATCAAAACCCGGGATACCCCCGTTCTTCGATGAGACTCCGAATATCAGCGAGGACTGTCTCCACCTTCGGATATCACGGCCTGTAGGTACCACGGCAAAAGATAAACTACCCGTTGTAGTTTGGCTCTATGGAGGTGGAGTCATCAAGGGGTCTGCATACGATCCTCATTTTAACCCTACTAACCTGATCACCGTTTCGGAATCGCTCAAGAAACCTGTCATATATGTCGCTCTCAACTACCGGATCACCATCTTCGGATTTGCCCGCCTGCCCGTCTTGAAAGATCAAAAGTCGCTGAACGTAGGAATGAGAGACCAGCGAGCAGGATTCCAGTGGGTAAAGGACAACATCGCAGCATTCGGTGGCGATGCAGAGAGGATAACCGCATTTGGCTTGAGTGCTGGAGGCACCTTCACCTCCCTTCATCTAATGGCTTATGGGGGTGAGAAAGGTGTTCCGTTTACGCAAGCTTGGGCTATGTCTGGCCCCCCTGGCACGGCTCTCAATATCACAGCCGACGCAACCGAGATACATACCCTTGCCGTTGCAGACAAGGTGGGATGCAGTGATAAGACAGACGAGGAGCTTCTTAGCTGCTTGAGAGATGTACCAATGGAGAAGCTGACGGAGATGGCCATGGATTACTCAAGAGAGAATCATCCACCGGCCGGGATGTTCACCTTCATCCCTTCTGTCGACGAGGATTTCATCCCGGGTCGCCAATCTGTCTTATACAAAGCCGGCAAGTTCACCAAAGGTTATCCTCCTATAAACCCTACCACCTTTCGTTTATCTTACGCCTTCAAGGTATTCCAATGGTCTTTGGCTGGACCCAAGATGACGGTGCGACGAATGCAGGACCGGCCTCTGCATTTCAGACCGAAGAAGACATGAAAGTCCCAATCAAGAACTTTGCTTGTGCTCTCGACGACGAAGATTACACGAAGCTTTTCTCGTTATATCCTGCCTCGGAGTTCGATGAGGATGTTAGAAACTACGAGGCCCGGAAAGAGGACTCTGACCCAATCGCACCTGTTCACTTCTTTCGTGTATCCCGGATATTGCGCGACATGTTGTTCACATGTTCATCGATCGACTTTGGTTATGAGTTATCTAGACAGTCTAGAGCTCTTGACCCGAAGTTCCCAGGAGTCCGTCTTTACGATTTGAACCAGAGCATGTTGACACCGATGTTCAAGGCTGTCGGTATGCCCTACGTGGGTGTCGCCCACGGCAGCGACACCAACTACATCTTCAACTGTGTATTCCCCGAAGGCGAAATCTCCGAGCCAGACCAGAAGCTCTGCAGGTCGATGACCGGCTCGTTCATAAACTTCGCATATACGGGCAACCCAAGCTTTTCGGAAGACGAAGGCTTTAAATCATGGCCAGAAGCATTTGCGAATTTTGAATCAGAGACGGGGCCTTCAGGAATTAACTTACAGGTCATTGGTGGACCACTGGGTACGGGATCTTCTCAGGTAGGCGACAAGGGCGGCGAAACAGGGTTTGATACAGAGGAGGGTGTTATGCAACATCCTCTTATGAATGATATAGAGTTCGGTGAGATGGATTCGGTGGTCGTCCAAGAGAGGAAGAAAGAACTTGAGCGGGAAAGATTGTTGAAGCGATGTAAATACATCAACAGCCTCTCTAAAAAGTTAGATGTCTAGACTCTTGAGGGTAAATTCTGACGAGATGATTTGGAGGAGTCAATAAATAGGGGCAAGCTTATAGCTACCTATCCTGCTATTAAGGGGAGAATATCATTATCAGACAAATAGAACTCAACTTTAATTCCTTCTACTAAGATTTGGCTGTTAAGTTCTTTTCCACCCCCGTCTGATTGCTCGGCTCATCTTTAGATCTATTTTTAGAATCCGAGTGGGTGGTTCGCTTCCACTCCATTGGATCTAGACCGCCGGATAATAGCGCCGGGCTATAGTGCTTGCTAAGACGGAAAAAAATGTCAGTCTTCGTGGCTCAGTTGGTTAGAGCGTTGGTCTCATATATATCTGTATGACCCATTCAACCAAGGTTGGGATATCCAAAGGTCGTGAGTTCGAGTCTCACCGAGGACATGATTCCTTGAGAAAAGAAGAAAATTTCATGTTTCTATTTTTTTTTTGATGTTTTGTCATATTTTTAGGAGTTTAGGACCCGCTTTTGTGCGTTGTTGCTGGTGTCATCTGTGTTAGACTAAAGCTGTACTCCGACCAGTTCCTTTTTTATCGTTGATACAAGGTCGTTCACGGTATGAAGGTTGTAAAACATATCTTCAGTTGGGTATCTACCTAGGTAGGTAGATGTAGATATTCAGGTATTAAAAAGGCAAATCAACATCCCGCATCACTTATACTTGAAGACGGAAATCAGAGTCCCAAGTGTTGTATCTGAGATGAATGGTATTGAAGGTAGACTGAGCTTATTTTATATAAGCTATAGACCTGGACATCTCTTCTGAAGTGGTTTAATCCTTGGCAGATGTAACCACAGAATCGTCCATATACGCGGTCATCTCCCCTCCTGAATTTTGCCATCCATTGTTAACGCCAGTCGTAAATTTTCGATCTTGAACCAACCATACACCTCTCTCTGCCTTGCTCTCACATGGGTATCAATCAGGACTTTGGCGGTATGTTTGTTTATTTCGTGTCGCAGTATCTTCATTTGTCTCGATCTCCACCAATTCTCTCCAGTGCTTCTAGCATGACTACAGAGTTGCCTCGGATGACCTAGAAATGGTGTTAGTCCATTATAGTATCTACCATGTCGGTGTTTGGAAGTACATACGACCATTCCAAGCTTAACCTTCTCACCACCGTCCTTCTCCTCCACGGCATCATCCAGAACAATATTTAGGAAGACCTAGAATTACGATTAGCTTGAGCACGTTATGATATGTGCACCTTGGACGCGCAGGGAAGGGGAGAAAGGTAGGATATTCAGTTCCTTACATCGTAACCACGGAGAATGCCTAGAACCTTGCGGCTCCCGTTCAGTTGGACGAATAGTCGCTTGTCGAGGTACTGTTGAATATTTGGTAAGTTTACTGTCGCAAATGTGAACATTGTTAGAATACATACCTTCTTGAGCTCTGGCTGTGCGGGTGCCATCTTGACGATAATTGAATGATTTGGTGGTGAAAGCTGAAGATTGTAAATGAACGAAGGAAAGAAAGTTGATTGTCGATTTGAAAAGAAGTACCTAGGTACGCTCATACTAAAGCTCGCGGTACCTCTGTACTAAACTTGATAAGATAGGGCGAAAGCTTCTTATCGATAAATAAATAATTTCTGGCCCCCTGAAACTTCAATGTCCAGGCTGCCAGGTCCAGGTGCATGGGTCAACTGGACCCTGGTACTTACCTACAAAGGTACACATCAAATTGTGGATTCTCATTCTTTCCATCTTCAACATTTTTAACACATGGATGCAAAACTGCAGAACTTGTAGCTCAACAAAAACACCTTAATTCAATTTGGTGATTGGATCTGGTGCTATACAAGATGAGTGCATTCGGCGCCAAACGAAAGGCGCGCAAGATCACCGTCCAGGATGACGATGATGCAATCCCAGCCAACTCTTTGAACCCACCTGAAGAACCCCAAGGACCAGCTTTGCAACCAACATTCAAGTCAAGCCGCTCTAAACCGTTCAAGCAATCTTCTCTACGAAAGAGTATCAACATCGATAAGGTCGGCGACGATGCCCTCACCTCGGCAAAGGAAGACACCAAGAACGACACAGAAGACGATGAGAATGGAGGGGCTCCTCTACGAATTCGCCCATCATTGGGAAGATCGGGGTCTACAAAGATAAAAAAACGAGTATCTACCTCCCGCCTTTCATTTGGTGTTCCTAGCGAAGATACCTCTGCAGATGAAGACTCCATGATAATCGGGGAAGAAGTCTCTACGCCAAAACGACCCACAACACTTGCGCATTCCGTACTTGAGAACAGCGCCTACAAGAAGGGAATTGCCAAAAACCTACCTCTCAACCGGCTTCCCATGCGCTCTACCGACGCAGACGAGAACCGCCCGCGTTATAGCAAAGAATACCTATCCGAGCTACAAATGTCGACTCCGAACACCCCCCAAGACCTTTCCAAGGTCCACCCCACATCCGACGACGAGATGGATCTCGACCCGTCAGAGCTCGAAGGCGCCACGATCGTAGAAACCGCGTCAGCTCAACCCGACTTCGGCAAACCCACAACCATCCTCACCGAAGCCGAGATCCAAGAGAAGAAATCCCGACGCGCACGCCTAGCCCAGGAAGGCCAGCACCGCGACTCCTCCGACGACTTCATATCCCTCTCCGACTCCGAGAACGCCCCAGACGGACGCAGACACGGAGACTCGTACCTCTCCATGCTGTCGCAGCGGCAGGACCGCAAGTCCGGCAAGGAGAGCACGCGGCTCGTGCGGGAGGACGAGGACCTAGGCGAGGGCTTCGACGAGTTCGTCGAGGACGGCGGGCTCTCGCTGGGCAAGAAGGCCGAGCGCGCGGCGCGCAAGAGGCAGCGGAAGGAGATGGCGTCGCTGATCGCAGCGGCGGAGGGCGGCTCGGGCGAGGAGTCCGACGACTCGGAGGCGGAGCGGCGCGCGGCGTACGAGAAGGCGCAGACGCGCGCCGGCATGGACGGGCTGGCCGAGGAGCGCGAGCAGCAGCGCCGCCGCCTGCACGACGCCCGGAAGCGCCAGCCCCTCCCCGCTCCCATGCCCGCGCCCACGCCCCTGCCCGACGTGGACAAGCTGGCCCAGGGCCTCAAGGCCAAGCTGCAGGTGAAGCAGAGCTCCATCAACGCGCTCAGGGCCCGCATCGCCGCCATCGAGAAGGAGGAGGCCGAGATCGCGAGGAGGGAGCCCGAGGTCCAGACGCTTCTCAACCAGGCGGGCGAGCGGTACCGCGCCGCTCTGATGGCTGCTGGCGGTGGTGCCGCGGGGGTCATGACTGCGAACGGCAATGGCAGTGGAGCGGTCGGGGCGAACGCAACAGACAACGTCGCGGCTGCGAAATCCCTTCTAGACCGAGCTAAGGTCGGCGTCGATGCGCCTCGACAGCGGGGACTGGAGAGCCTGGGAACGACGCCGGTGAAGCAGCGATCGGAGGAGGAGGATGATATTTAAGCCTACTTGATACCCAACCTAACATTGAAGAATCGCGAGTTTCTTCACGGTGCAGAGATTCGAAGTCAATTTGACCAACTTTGCTAAGATTTATCTCTTGGTTGTGACCTTCTACATAATGAAATACCCGTGCCAAACCCCCTAATAGATAGACTAAGGGGGGACAAGCTATGCTAAACCAGCGCCCGTTTGTTTGTCCCCGGTATCAGTACACGTATGATACATCGGCATTATCATCCGTATCGAGTACGGCTTCGTCTTCTACTTCCACCTTCCTTCTTCTACGAGCCTCGGTAGCATTTCTGCATTTCTTCCTTCTTCTCTTCATGCTATTTCCAGACTTGCCTAGTGTACATAGACCATCGATTTTTAACCAAGACAGACACCTACTTCGACCTCGAAACGCCAGCCCCGATGACGCCAGGCAGCTTCTCCTCGCCGACGCTGAACAGCAGGCTGATGGAGAAGGCAACGGTAGAGACCAGGGCGATGGACACACCGGCGAACAGCCAGAAGGGCGTGCTCACGTCGCGCTTGTGGCAGGAAGAGCCACCCCAGCGGAACACGCCGGTGCGGCCCTTGGCGTCGGTCTCGTTGGTGGTCAGGCAGTGGCAGAAGAAGCAAGAATCCTTGATGTCGAGCTTGGCCCACTTGTTGATGCAGGACCCGTGGCCAGAGCAGCTGTCCGTCGCCGTGATACACGCGTTGTGGCTGGTGAAGCAGGACGGGAGGAGGGCGGGCGGGCGCGAGGCAGCGCCGGACGGCTTAGAAGAGAAGGCGTGGAAGGGCTTGTCGTCGTTCGCGTGGTTCTTGGTGCCGTCGGCGTTGTAGGAGGAATCCGCGGTGGGGATGTCGGTGGCCTCGGGGATCTCGGCAATGACGAGCTCGGTTTCGAGGTCTCGTCGGCGGAGCTCTTCGGATTCGGTGCTGGGGTGTGCGAGGAGGAGGATGGTGGTTTCTAGTTTCCCGTCAAGGGCCTGGGTAGTAAGAGATTCGATGTTGCGTCCTAGTTGCGCGATGATGTCCTTATTCTTCAGATGGTCAGCAGACTATATGTGGATTTTTTTGATGCGATGAGGAACAAACATACTTTGGCGACATTGTACTGGAGATACTGCGTCTTGCCGTTCCAACACTTCTCATTCTCCGTGTTGATCGACTTCTCGAAAACACAGCCTGTCTTCTTGCCCCCAACAGGAAGTTGACTCAATCCAGGAGCCGTAAAGGTGAGCGGGACATTTGATAGAGCAGCCTTCAGGTCTTTGTATTTCCCATCCGTGACACCAGAGAAAGCGATGAGTAGTTGCCTAGGCTCATTCGCGTCTTCGAACTCCTCGAATAACGGCCGGGGCGCTTTCGCGTATTGATTGATGTATAATATGGATTCATCTTGGGAAATTGATTCAGGTAATTGGCCTAGAGATGATGGCTGTTCGGACGTGCTGAGCCGTTGAAGAAGGATAGCTCGAGCAAGTTCGTTTGGTATAGAAGGAGGATTCGAAGTAGTTGTTGTCTTTGACTGTCTGATGATATATGCTTCTGCATTTTGGAACTTCTCCTCCGCATTGGCAGTAGAAATTCCAGCCAGAGCTGGTAGTATGAAGCTCTGTAGCTTCATGTTGTCGAGATTGATTGCTCTCAAAGCTATTACTTAGGTTGTGATTGCAATGAAGAAAGGCGAAGACAAGTAGCTTATGATGATGCTCTATTTGGTTAGGGGAACTTCTAAGGTTCTATGACTCTGGATAAACATCGGCAGATAGAAGTAATGGAAATATGGGTCCCATTAAAACTACCTACCTTGTATGTATCTATGTATTGTAGTTAAGAAGTTTGATTGGATGGTGGGGGTTTGAACAATTATTCATGGTCAAGGGTCTCGAACTTCTAGAAGCACATGGTCATGAAAATGAAAGACTGGAGGTTGTAACTTCCAAATCTAAAGG